AGGCCTCTAGTTTGTTAAGTAAATGAATGAGTGAATTACTCTTTCCCAGTCTGTAGTTGATGCTTCATGAAGCCTCTTTCTTCCCTTTCCTCAGAGCCCATTGTGGCTTTGCCAGTATCCTGCACTGTAATAGTGCTTACTATTTGTGACTGTCCTTTGGCAACCATCCAGACTCAACTCAGTTCAATTCATCCAAGTTTCATGGAACTTCACTACAGGCAGGAAGCATTCATAGTGTCAAGGACTGGTGAAATAATTTCCTCACCTGTGGCGCCTCAATTGTAATTTGAAAACAACCTTGGCATGAAATAGAACCTTTTCCAAGATATTTTGAAAGTCTAAATACATGATTATAAATTACTTCCTTTTGTCAACATATTTGATTACTATCCAGGAAATAAATGACTTCTGAAGATGGGTAAATAGATGATTATTCCACAGGTATAGGGCAGGTGTAGAAGGGGGACAGAAGGGTAGGAAGAAAGGAGACTCATCTTTGTTTGATGAATTTGCAGTTACATTAAGTGTGGTGGAAATAAGGAGTTAGCAGCTGAGCTATTCAGCCCTGGCCTGGGACTGGGAATTGAAGGGACACACAGAAGCCCCTTGCATGAAAAGAAAGCCAGAATATCCTGCCCCACAAACACACACACACACACACACACACACACACACACACACACACCTGTTGTTGTTTTCCTGAGGGTTGGGCTTTTTTAAGTTTTATAATTATTTTCCATTCCTATTTCCACACCCTTCTACCTATCTCCTACTCTCAATGCTAGTCTTCTATAAAGTAGTAATGTACCTTTTCTCTGGTAATTATTTCTTTTATTGGAATTAGAATTAGTCATGTACATGTTCATTAAAACATTATCTTATCTAATAAAGAGGGAATATGCTAATGGACTGCCATGCCTTGACACGATGGCAGTGCCCACAGCCACCATATGGCAGCACCCAGTCCTTTCAGCCTCTCCCCTCCCCGCCCCACATCCAGCCAGAGTCTCCCAGTCCCCTCAGCCCCATGGGGGAGGGGGGGGCAGCAAGCACTGTGTGCCTCATCCAGCATTAGTCTCCCAATCCCCTCAGCCATGCTTCATCCAGCCTCAGTCCCCAAGTCCCTACAGCCCCACCTCATCCAGCTGGAGTTCCCCAGTCCCCTCAGCCCCACCTCATACAGCTGGAGCCCCCAGTCCCCTCAATCCTGTAGGGCACATGTGTCAAACACAAGGCCCGCGGGCCAAATCCGTCCCGCCAGGCCTTGCAATGTGGCCCACACCGCGCTGTCATCACTGCACTCCGCTGCGTTTCCATCACAATGACAGTTTATGACTGTTCAGTAAACCATTCGGCCCGCAATTTAGGCTGGATTTTAGATTTTGGCCCCTTCTCTGATTGAGTTCGACACCCCTACTGTAGGGGAAGGCAGTTGGAGGCAATCAGTCCAGCAGGGGAGGGCAGTTGGGAATGATCATGCCTACAGGGAAGCAGTTAGGCGTCAATCAGGCCAGCAGGTGAGTGGTTAGGGGGCTATCAGGCAGGCAGGCAGGCAGGCAGGCAGGCAGGCAAGTGGTTAGGAGCCAGCAGTCTCAGATTGTAGGATTGGGCCTAAACTGGCTGTTGGACATCCCCTGATGGATCCCATTTTGGAGAGGGTGCAGGCTGGGCTGAGACACCCCCCCAGGCACAAATTTTGTGCACTGGGCCTCTAGTTTTTAATAACAATATACTAAAAATAACAAAAAAAATCTTATAGTAAGAGGTAATTTAAATATATAATGATAGATTCATAGTCTGGAATACTATGTAGACAATAAAATGATGTTATAAAAATAAGAATTGATATAGAAAAAATTCGCAATATGTCATTAAGTAAAAAAATAGGATACAAAATCATGTGTGAGCTCTGTGTGTGTGTGTGTGTGTGTGTGTGTGTGTGTATCCATACAACACTGGTGATTTTTTTCTTGGTGTTTTTCTGTATTTAAAAAATTTTCTGCATTGAATGCTACAGTCTAAGTTGAGGCACTACAAGGAGGAGTATAAGTACTTTGAGAACACAAACAAAGGTTTCAAGCAAAGCTTCCCTCAAATTTTGAAGAAGGCAAAAATCAAAGAGTAATGGAGAGAAACTCGGAGAATATGTTGTTCTATAAGTTGAAAGGTGAGGAGATGGTGTCTATTGGTGGTGAGGACTTTAAGGTCCACCAAAAAAAAAAAAAAAAAAGATGAGATTCTATTAAAGAAGCAATGAAGCCCTAACTGGTTTGGCTCAGTGGATAGAGTATCGGTCTGCGGACTCAAAGGTCCCAGGTTCGATTCCGGTCAAGGGCATGTACCTTGGTTGTGGGCACATACCCATTAAGGAGTGTGCAGGAGGCAGCTGATTGATGTTTCTCTCTCATCGATGTTTCTAACTCTCCTCCTTTCCTCTCTGTAAAAAAAAAAAATCAGTAAAAAATATTTTTAAAAAGAAGCAATGCAGAAAACTCTGAGTTTGTGAATTATAGGTGAATTGATTGAATAATTATTTTAGTCATAGAAGGGTAGATTGGGTTATAGGCAGGAGATCTGCCAGAAGACTCTCAGTTTGCATATTTGACCTGAGGTAATGAGAGCCTGGATTAAGCTTGTGGCAATAAAACCAGAAAGAAAGGAGCAGGTGGATCTGAGAGATGTTACCAAGAAAGAATCAGAGCTAGATGTTCAAATTGCCTAAATATATGCCAAGTGGTAGTGGAAACCATGTAAAGAGACACTTTCCAAGGAAATGGATATTAAGAGAGAATAGCTGAGGACTGAGTCTTCAAGGATTCCAGTAGTTATTAGGAAGAGGAAAGAGAAAGAGCCAGTGAAGGAGACAGAAAAAGATGGTTTAGAGAGATAAGAAGAGAAAATTGAGAATACAATGTCATGAGAGCCAAGGGCAGTACAGTTACAGGAAGAAGTGGTTTGATGATATCAAATTCATCCTTGAGGTCAAACATTCAAACTGAGCAGAAACCCTTGAATTTGGTCAGGAGGTTGTTACTGAATTTATTTACAGAGTGGTTTTAACAGAAAGTTCTGTACTCTAGAAAGTTCAAGATTGGGAAATAGAGGCAACTCATGCATACCACCCATGTGACAAGATTAATGTGTTAAGACTGAGAAGAACAAGATTAAGCTTTGTTATTCTAGTTCTGTTACTTAACCACTTGAAGTGGTTTCCTTTTATAAAAACAACTCATGAACTGTTGAAAGTATAAGTGACTCCTTTTATGCTATAATGAAGGGACTTCCTCTTCCTTGCCCCCAGCCCCCAACAAATAATCTCTAGAGATTTCTGGGCATGTTTTAAGAAGAGTCTTTTACCTTAACAGTCCTATCCCTAGGCTGGTACTTTTTTGAGAATTTCCTGTCTGTACCTTCTGGAATTTGTCAGGCCAAATCACTTTATCAATTCTTCCCTGAGTCCCTCTGAAGTGAGGACATTAAGGCAGTGTGATTAGGAGGGATCCATTGGTCAGGGTCATGTGAAATGTCTCTGAAACCTGGGTAGAGGCTGTTAAGCAAGGAAGGTTCTGTTTGAGACCCAAAATATAGTTAGTGCCAAGCACATGCCCCAACAACAGAAGGCTGTAGTTCCTGAGGGGATGATAGGCAGAGGTACCAGAAAACCTTCCTTTTTAAACCATAGCACGTGCAGACTAAATGGCCCCTGGACTGCATGCTCTGGAACATGCAGATTAATTTTCAAAGTTTTCATAAAGGCATATACTTTTCTTTCATTCTTTCTATTCTCACTTTGCAACCACTTGCAACCAGATCTGACCAGAACTACCTCATTTTCCCCCTATATACTTTCTACAGATCAATTCCTTTGAGCACTTTTCCTTTGTGAAGTTGAATCTGTTCCCAGTTTGACATACTATGAGTTGATCTTTGTCTTATTGCCTTGTTACCATAAAAGAAAAATTCCCTCTGAGAAAAAAAAAATGGCTGCCACACAACCCAGCAGGGTCTAGACCTGTCTTCAAGCTCTGAAGAGGTACAGTGGGTGCTGACCTAACTGAATGCAGGTGGGGGAAGTGAGTATATTTTCTAGAACTGGCACTATTCAGACCCTGAGACATTTAGAAAGTGTAGTCAAAGGGCCAGTTTAATGTCCCTGCTCCTTTTAATGAAAGAACTTGTTTTCCTTTCTGGGAAGATGGCTTACCTTGTTAAAAAGGGGTCACATCATGGATGGGGCACTCACATGCTAAGATGTGTAGGCATCTCTAAAAACATGTCAGGAGATCAGAGAAAGGGTACTTCCAAGGTACATTATCAGAAACTTTATTGGAAGACCAGTGAGTCCTATCCTGCTTTGGATTTTCTTGCAAGTGCCTAACCATTCAGTCACTAAATTTGGTCTAAGTGTCTTCTGAATAAGATATTGTCCTCCACTGAGGAAAGGAAGTAGGGCTAAAAAATTAGGCCAGCGTCTTTGTGTATGATAGTAATTGCCATAAGAAGACAAAAGGGCTCTCAGCTAATGCTTTACTGAAAAGCTGAAGGAACCCCAGGGCAGGGATTGCTTTTGGGGTCACATGTTATATCTGGGTCAAAGCAGGACCTGCAGGGCAGGTGGCCAGAACTTGGAAGGAAATCTCTTATGAAGCTTAGGGTCCAGACATGGCCCCAGCAAGCTGCCCTGACAGCCTGTGATGTCTAGGATCTCGCGCATTCCTATCCCTGCTCCTTTCTCCTTCCCCCTTCCCCCTTCCTTCTTCCCCCTTCTCCCTTCCCCCTTCCCCCTTCCAGGCTTCACTCCTTCCTGTCTCCTTCTCCCCTAACTAGCTGTCCCCATTCCCTGGAGCCAGGAGCCAGCCAGACAGCCAGATCCTGAAAAGAGTCATCCTGGGACTGGAAGGGGCGTGGTGGAGAAGGGGAGGAGGGGCAAGGGTTCAGGGATAAGGAGGCCCCAGTAGCAGGCACTCCCAGCCGCTGCATATCCTAGCCCGCTTGAGAACTGGGGTCCTTGCCTTGCTCATTGCTAATCCTCGTCCAGGGGGAAAGGTCAGTAGGGTCTTGGAGCCGAACTGCCCTGCGTCTCCCCGACAGCCATGAACTGCAGCGAGAGCCAGAGGCTGCGAACCCTCCTGAGCTGCCTGCTGCTGGAGCTGCACCACCAGGGCAACGCCAGTGGCCTGGGCGCTGGCCTAGGACCGAACAGGGGCATGGGGGTAGTGCCTGACACCTTCTTGGGCCGCGAGGTGACCAGTCCCAAGGGCGATGACGCTTATCTCTATATTCTGCTTATCATGATCTTCTACGCGTGCATGGCTGGAGGCCTCATCCTGGCCTACACCCACTCCCATAAGCTCATCGAGGCCAAGGACCAAATATCCCAGGCCTGCCCCGGACACCAGTGGGCCACAGGAGGCGCCCTTGCCCCTAGGGAACTGCCCTCCTTTGCCCAGAGCACTGAGGGGGTCTAGAACTACAACAGCAGCTCTGCTGGCTTGCTCCTTCTTCATCTCTCTTATTATTCCTGGGCGCTGTCCCTGCCTTTTCCTTTCCTCCTCTTCCAGGTTTTGCCTCACCTAAGGCCCACACAGTGATGAGAAACCAAAAAACCTTGTTTGGAAGAAGCACGATCAGGGACAGTTTCTCCCTCTTCTCTCTCCTCTTTCTTGCTTCCCCCCATCCTTGACTTTCTCTTCCATTCTCACCCAACACATTCAACTGCATTAAAATTGCCTCTGCTCTCTTTCTTCAGACAGCCCCCACTCAAGCCCTCTGGGAACTGAATCCAACACTTGGCATTGAAGTCTATTAGAACTCTGGGCCATCTAACTGGCAGCTGCTCCAGAGGCTGGCTGCCAAGGACTGCTCACTCTGCAGAGCCAATGGACTTGCCATCACTGCCAGGCACCACTGCAGCACCTCCAGCTTTCTGTTGCCTTAGGGACAGAGACAACAAAAATGGAGAGACTTCAGATATAATTTCCTTCCCTCCCTCTTTTAGCAGGGAGCTAGCAGAACATTAGGACCAGTGTGTGGAATAGAATGGACATAATGGAGACTGAAGGGGCACAAAGGAGAAGAGAGAAGACCTATGATCCAATTGTATGGTTTTCTTGCACCCAGTTGTCACCCCAAAGGTAACTTGCCTGATTTTTAGTATCTTTGCCATTCGTTTTCTGCAATGAGTAATCGTTGCTGGGTGAATCACCCCAATACCTCCAAATGCTTCTCCTCTATTGGTTTAGTTGATCTGTCAGCTGTATGCTTCATCCATGGAATGCAAGGCTCAGATGCCCCCTGCTCTGTAACCTGAGGAATGTCAGAGGCAGGCAATAAAGGTTGTTTAAACAATAACCTAAGACTCTTCTCTCAAAGATCCCAGCCTTGAGACCCAGTACTATTTAGAGAAGCGTTTTTGTTTTTTTTTTGTTTTTGAAATGATGCTTAGATTTGGAGGTTGGATTGTGGTGATATTTATATCTACATATTCAGTTCCAATAGGATAGATGTGATCGTGGGTGAAGAAAATGTTTATATGGCTAAATAGGTTATTTTTCAAGTGTTTCAAAAATTAAAATGACTATACTTTTCCTTAATTCTGAAGCACTTTCTAAGTATGAATTTCCCACTTTCCTTTTGCAGTATTTTAGGATACACTTAAAAAACTTCTCATACCTATCATAGCTATTATCACTGTTAGCTTTAAGAAGGCAATTTTGTAACTCTCGCAAACAAAGGGTTTATTAAAAAGAGAAACAGGTCACCAAATAGTGTAAATCTTAAGTCAGAGGGAAATGCTTGAACTAAGCAATCTTAACCAATAATGGATACATTTAGAAGTGTATATTTATTGATTTATTATCCTTGTCTCAAGAAGGTCATCAGAAACTTGTCTGTTTATGGCTTAAATGCTTATACCTGATGATAGCTGTTTGGTCTTCATCAAATACACAAATTCACCTCTTAACACTAAGCCAACTTGTTTAAATACTGGTGGTTTCTCAGTAATAGCAGGACAAAGATGTAACTTAAATGCATTGATAATACACAAACCTTGTCTGAGGCATTGATTTTGAACTTGTAGCCCATCTGGTATTTTACTGGAGCTATTAATAAGTTAAATGATCTTTCATTCCCAGGGTCAACTCCTTGAAGATGCACTGGCCTTACTCCATTGGCTCCTCTCCAGTCCCAGTTTCAGCACTAAGATAGTCCCCTGTCTTGCAGGTGGGGGCCAGGGATTGGGCAACAGTCCCAGACAATGATAGGAAGAGAGAGGATGTTGTGAAATCATCTCCAGGCCAGGCAGGAAGGCCTGAGTGGTGTGTGGAGGGAGGGCACATATATTTAGCCATGCCAGATGCATTCTCAAGGGACCATTCCACAGAAATGTATTTCAAGTACAACAGTGCCCCTCATTTATTTGGCATACTGAGGAACAGATAATTACAATAGTGTATGTATTTCAGGTACAACAACATCAGTCACTTATGTATCATAATTTGGGACACAAGATTGTTTTATTAATTAAACATAAGAAGGAAGGAAGGAAGTAAAGAAAGAAAAAAGGAAGTAAAGAAGGAAGGAAGCTGGGAATAGTTCAGACAATGCCTATGACAAACATCAATGTGCCAGCTATGTAAAACAAATCCCACAGGGGAAAAATCCATTTTTAAAATATTTTAAGCTTTTTATGATGATTAGGTTATTCATTAAGAACATGTAGCAAGAGTAGCTACAGAACTTCCCCAGTGGAAAAAAAAAAAGTGAACTAGCCTGGGAAGAGTGATTTCCTTTACTGCCAGTAGCTTTCTTCAAGCACCTTAAAGGATGTAACTGTGTCTCAGATGATGAAGTTTCCCAGAAGTCTGGACACTCTACCACCCAGTGGAGGTGTCAACAGCATTGATGTGATCATTTGTGCCCAGCAAAATATATAGAGAAAAAAGCAAAACTAGATGTTTGGCTAGCCTCCAGTTTTGATAATGTATTCCTGAGTAGCATGAGATGACTGTACAAATTGGGGAAAATGTTAGCCTTCTCCTTAATGTGATTCTAATAAATTAGAGTCTGCTTTTTTCAACCCACCGAGCAGTCTATTTCTCTCTTCTGTGTAAGCAGATCCTGTTTCACTTCAGGTTCAGATATTTGCTCCATTAATAATAATTAAGAAGATCCACAATCCCTTACTTGGAACTTGAGGCTTGGAACAAAGTCTGTTTAAAAGTTGTTTTGAGTTCTAATATCTGAAAGTGTTAATAGTGAAAAAAGAAATTGAAGTTTTTCTTCCATTACAGACATAATTATGCATTGTTGATTCACTTTTATAGAGAGATATAAATGGGATCTCTCATTTGTTTGTATTTATGATCTTTGTTCCAATTTGCCATCTCTTTTAGAAACCAAAGATCGGCACATGATTTGTAGCAACAAACAAATACTTTCTAAACAATCTTGCCTGAATGTGCAGTGGCATTGGAGAGTACGCAAGGCTAGAATCAGAGGAACTGGAGTCCAGCAATAGCTTTATTAATTAGCAGTTTTTGATCTCAGAGTGAAATATTTAACTTCTCTGGGCCCGACTCCACTGGTGGGAATTTGAAGGTCAAGTGAAATAACATGTGGGGAAAGGCTAGGGAAAGTACATCAGCTGTAGAAGCATAAGATGTTCAGTTTATAGTTTCATTTTCCTTCTTTGGGAAGTTGTGTGGGGGAAGAGGGAAGAGTAAATTCTTCAATGTGTAAAGTTTATGTTCATTGCTTAAAAAGATAATTGGAGAGACTTGGCCACTAGTTGCCATATTTCTGAGCCTAATTAACCCCTTCTTAGAATCGTGGATGACCAAGAATCTGTGCATAACTGTCTCATTATCCCATTCTATACCCATTTCCCTAAATCTCCACAGTGCCTTGAACAAATTATGACAATAACGTTGTATTTTCAGGGATCTACCAGGACTGTAGTATAGATTTTGAAGACATAGTCAGTGACTGAGAGAGGGCATAAGGGAAGAAAATGAATGGAAAGAATAACATGCTGTGGGCTTTAGGAGGGAAGTAGGAGGAAGAACAATTTAAAGTGGTCTGTGAATGTAAGGGAGCATGACTGAGGACCAACAAGGGTGAATAGGTTAAATTGGTCAATAGTCAATATTAGGTGAACCATCCTTCAAAATGGCTTTAGGAGACATTAGATGGGCGGTCACCTCTCAGCCCCTTTTATTACTTGACACAACCTACAGTCATTCCAGAAAGCCAAATAGTACTATTAATTTAACTCTTCTGTTTGTGCAAGATGTTAGAAAATGGGACCAGATTACCAAATCAGTCCCCCATCAGTTGTGATTTGAAGAAGGGCATGGTCTTGGTTGCCTTTGCTTCATCCTCTAAAAGAGTGCAGATTATACAGGGTGATATCTCATAGCTGCTGGCAGGGGCCTTCCTTAATTCTGTGCCACCCACTGGTGGTCAGTGCATATCATAGTAAGCGATAGAACTCCTGGTCAGTAGAATTCCTGAGGGGACACTTTGCATATTAGGCTTTTATATAGAAAGATAGATGTACACTATATTTAAAATATACACAATGTAAAATTTACCACCTTAACTATTTGTAAAAGTGTACAGATTAGAAGTGTTAAGTACATTCCTGTTATGGTGCCATAGTGTCCTTTAAAGCCACAGAAAAAGGCAAGCACTAAGTTACTTTATATAGAAGCAGCAAGACTTAATTGCTTCAGATGACACCTCCTCTAGGATATTCATATTTTATACTAGATCACTTAGAACAATGTGAGGGTGAAATCCAAGAAAAATGTCTCTGGTGTGGATCTCAGTGGAATCTGGAAGGAAAGATATCTTGAAATGTTTACATTTTGGGGTGTACTGTACTTCCCACAGCTTCTCAAATCACATTCTACTTTTTGTGCCTTTTTTTTAAAAAAAGGAGCAATTAGTTTTTTTAATTATTTATTTTAAAGAGAGGAGAGAGAGAGAGAGAGAGAGAGAGAGAGAGAGAGAGAGAGAGAGAGAGAGATGGATGTGAGAGAGAAACATCCATTGGTTGCCTCCTGCGTGACTGGGGATTGAACATGCAACCTGGGTATTAGCCCTGAATGGGAATCAAACCTGCTACCTTTTGCTGTATGAGACAACATTCTAACCAACTGAACTACCCAGCTGGGGAAAATAACATCTTGCTCTTTCTGTCAAATGCTCTTAGAACTCTGGGGAGGACTATGGTGTCCATGTATGACTACATTTCAGTAAGAATTTGAGAGCTAGAAACATCGATGAGAGAGAAACATCGACCAGCTGCCTCCTGCACACCCCCTACTGGGGATATGCCCGCAACCAATGTACATGCCCTTGATCAGAATCAAACCTGGGACCTTTCAATCCGAAGAGCGGTGCTCTATCCACTGAGCCAAACCGGTTTTGGCAAAACTTTTCTCTTGACTTTGATAATAGC